ACAGCAATTCTTGAACAGCCCCCCCCCCTTAAGGCTGTGACTATACCACCTCCCCCCCCAGCCCCCCAACCCCCCAAAAAAAAAAAAAAAAAAAAAAAAACCACCCCATATGTGACCACATTAGATTTAGATGCCAAAATGACGGGCAGGAATGAACTTCATGCTAGATCTGATCACCAATTGAGAACAAAGTTCACCATTCTTTTCTTTTTTTTTTTTGAACTGCAAACAAAGTCCACCCCTAATTCGACCCCAAAATGAGATAGTTGCCTAAAAGAGTTGCCACATGACCAACAAAAAAGTCAAACCCACTTCCACATATCAAGACTCGAGTAGAGAAAGTCGTATGGTCTAAGAGAATGCATACTCAACATTAGGTTGGTTGCCTTTTAAAAAAACAGTCTAGTTCTACAAAATTCTTTGCATGTGTCTGTCATACAGTACAAGATATTTCTTTCAGCATTTTGCACCTCATCGACTACTTACTCCACCCTTCCTTGCCCACTTCTCATACTCTGCGACCTGCACTCACAATATAGCTTCAGCCAATGACAACGAATAAAATTATCCCATTATAGAAATCACTTAAAATAAATTTTGTTCGATAACAAAAAATCCAATTCTAAGTTTTCTGAAAAAAATAATGAGATGAAGGCAGAAAGGAACTGATCTTTCTTGTCAAACATACAGAAACTAAAGTTCAGTGAAAAAAAGCTAAATGTGCCAGAAATAAAAGCAAAAACACAACGAAAGCAACAACAAATCAAAGATTCATTGGGAAAAATATCAGTAGAGTAAGTTTCGACAGAAAAGTCTGTATGACAAACAAAATGAAAGCATGGGAATTGAGAAAGATCAATCCACATTTCTGTTTGGGAAAGTCGAGTTTGTCACTGAAGAAAAAGGTTAAGGAGGACTCTAATCTAACGTTAAAGCTGGAGATTAAAGCAAATTGAGTAAATAACAATTTTGAAGAGCCTAATGCTACGCAAATATAGGCTGCAGATAGGTACAAACATATTGAGCTGTTTAAAGCAGATTTGTTTGGAGCTAAGAAGCACGGACATGGACATGAGACATGGATACGACACGACATTTCTCAAAAAAGTAGGACATGAACACGTTGGAGATATGATACAAAAAATTATATTTTTATATATAATTTATTGCAAATATAATGATAATGATATGCAATTCATAAAAAATTCAGTATTTTATAACAAGTAAATCTTATGTGTAGTCACCTGTGTAAATTTTTAGATTAAAAATCATCAATTTTTTTTGTAGATAATGTGTACCTAATATATAATTTTAATAATTGCCCTCATTTTCTCTATTCCTCTTTTTTTAAATTTATACAAATCTTTTGTATTTATTATATTTTTAGTACAACTTTAATATGTCTAGTGTTAGTAATTATACGCTCTTAAATTTTTAAAATTTGTTAATTACATTTCAACACATGTTTATTATTTAGTAGTAGACACATTTCAAAGAAGTGTCGGACACATCACCAAAGAAGTGTTGAACACGTGTCTAAAATTAAAATATTATCATTTAATTATAGACACGGATAAAAGAATAACGGACATGTGTCCAAACGTATCCGAAGAAAATCATATCCGACACGGATACGTCACCTTCTCGAGGGTGTCCATAGTTCGTATCTTTGGAGTATCATGATGAACGTCCCTCTATCCAGATCTTAACTTGAGATCAAGTTTTTCCAAGTAGAGGAGACTCATGTATCAATGACTTTCCACACGTGGGCCAAATTCCTTAACATCGATCTATGAATTTTCTATTTATGGAATGCTTTGGCTTGAGACTAACTTTAGCTGCAAAAATGACTTGTTCACTGGCGATTCAGCCTTAATTCTAGCCCTCAGTATTGCGTTCTGTGTTCCAACTCAGTTTGACTTTTCTCTTATGGTTAAGCTCATGTTTTGAAAGAATAAAATCTTATTCTATTATACAGCATGATTTTATGTTTGAGAGATGCAAACTGTAAGAACAGGGAATATGTTATCAATAAATTCAAATGCAAACTGCAAGAACAGGGAAGATGTTATCAATAAATTCAACCTTTGGTCTCTTTAAGTTTTCCCTCCGGTGAATTTCATATCATGGATACTGACGTTAGTCATATCCTTTTTGTTATTTTCATTGCGTCTCCTGAGTCCCTTCCATATCAGACATATAGATCAAAGTGAGACATATCTTCAGATTAGAGAAATCAGGAAACAGTATTTCCCAGCAAAAGCACGCAATTCTCGACATAACCATCAAAATTCGTAGCTAACTGCCAATACTAACAAAGTCAAAAACAACTAGTACCTAAAATACAGATCAAAATTGAACAAAAGCATTCCTCACAAACAATAGACTGATAAACAACATCAATTGTTTGAACACAGGAGAAAAACTAAATTCGATCAAACCATGCCAAAAAGATATACATGCACTACCGTAGTAACGCAAGTCAATCAATCAAATCACCTAATTGAAGACGATTGACGAAGCAGCACATATATAAGCATACGCTTTAAGAAACATTTACCTTTAAGAAGATCCGACGATGATGTTGTTGATAGGGATGAAGATCAGCTTGACGAAGAACCCTACGAATCCCATCACCACGAATCCGATCGCTGTGCGGAACGCTACCTTCGTGAATTCTACACGAACACACAATGCAATCATAATCGTAAAAATCAACGAAAGTTCGCACAATTTTTGTCTGAACAGTGTCAGATCGAAACCCTAAGAAGAAGAGAATTATTACCTTTGCGATCGGGTTTGTGGCACCTCTTGACAAGCCGAACGCTGTCCTTTGCGAACTCTCTCAGTGGATCGAAGACGGAATCCAAGGCGTCCATTTTTTGTATGTAGCCGAGACAGAGACAGAGACAGAGAAAGAGAAAGCCTAGCTTAGATCTGAGAGATGAAAATGATGGAGAGAATCGTGAACCAAGACGGGAGAAGAAGCAATAGGCCGGCAGAGCACGTGAAACAGATTTATCTACCCTTTTCTGTGACCACTGTTCTGTTGTTATCTTTCTGACTGAAACACCCCTACCACCACAACGATGTATGGCTGGATAATTCAGGTCAGTAATGTCATTTTCTTTTTGAGTATTTTTTGTTATTTTATTTTTTTAATTGAATTGATAGATAACAACAAATAAATAATTAAGAGTAAATTATACATATGACTCTCAAACTATAACTCTCTTGTGTTAATTAAATTTCTAAACTTTTTTATGTGTCAATTGAGACATAAAATTCTATAATTGTATCATTTAAATTTTATAACAGAACAAGTTGTGTCGTTGTATGAGGTATTCAACTCCAGGGATGAATCGAAAAAGAAATCTTTATTGGTTCTTGGCTGGTAATAAAACTCCTTCAATACCTGCTACAATTTCCTCTTCCTTATGATCATCACTATTCTGAGCCGCTCTCAGCCCCTACAATGTCTTTGTCTGGCCAACACTGCTCACGGTGGAACTGTCCATATTGTTTTGGGGATTAATCATACATCACGCAACACGCCTACGGCTTGGTGATATAGGATGATACAAGTGGCCTTCTCTTTTAGATTTTGAATTTTCATCACATCACAGTGCCTAAGCTGAGACACAGCATTCTAAAACTGGAAAAAGAACATTTGGGAGAAAACAAGAATCACTCATTGAACTGTTTTATTGATCAACACTTCATTCCAACAAACTTTCAGGTTTTACCCCACTTAAACTCAACAATGCCTTGTCAATCCAATACATTTTAAAGTTCCAGTCCTATTGGAGGAAAAAATGTACAGCACTCAACATTCAAAAAACGAGAACATCTTACATCACACAACAAGAAGAAAGCACCCATCTGCGAAACATTGACAAGCTGGTAATGCCTATATTATGTCTCGTTTCCACTCTCCAGCTGATGGCTCTCGAAAGTGCTCACATTTGTAATCCAGAGGTTGGAGACAGACATTCGCTTCAATTGGAAGTTGTATGTAATCAACACCGGTCTGAGTAATTGAATTTTGAAAACCCGATTTAGTTCTGTTCCCATGAGTCTTTAAGTACGAGATTTTCCATAGAGGTGAGTGTAAACACTCTTAGTCCGGTAAACAAGAATCATGCTTAAAACAAACGCAATAATGCAGAGCCCCGACATTATTATGCAAGTCAAGAAGAAGCATGTTGCACCTTCACACTTAAGTGGTTCATCCAAATTAAGAATGCCTGAAAAAACCGATACCCTGCTTTGTTGATTGTGATTCCGAGCTTGCTTCTCTGCTTCCATGTCATATATACTGCTAGCAAGTAGACCCGAGAAGACTAGTGAACCTGCAGGGTTTGCTAGAGTGAGAAAATTGTACAACGCCCCGAACTTCTTTAGGCCGAATAACTCAGAGGCAGTAGCAGGCACAATGGCCCAATGGGCCCCGTAACCAAGCCCGACTAGCAGAGTCCCAATGTATATAGCTCCAGGCCAATCCACAGCAAAGAAGAAAAGCCCAACTGCCATTATTACTTGGGCGACAGCCATGGCTGCTGGCCTTGGATAAGCATAGTCCCTATTCAGCACCATGGATAGTTCACATGAGAAAGATACAAGCCAAAACTAATCATACTAAAGTTAGCTAGGATCCAGGAGTAAGTTAATCCAACTTGTACCTGACAATTAACTCAGAGAAGTAACCGCCACCAATCCGGCCGAGAAAGTTCCAAATGCTGATCATGGAAACAAATACATGTGTGTCATCATATCCCAAAGACTGGCTCATCTGACCGAGATTATCAATCACGGTCAAACCGGATCCAGAACCAAATAGGAGTGAGAAAAAGATAAGCCAGAAATCTGCCTTTATCAAAGCTTGCATCAATGTAAAGTCTTCCCCTCTGTGCGGCCCCCTTCTCCTCTTGACCCTCACTGCTCCTTCTGCAGCTGCTTGAAATAGTTTTGTTTGAAGTTGTGCTATTCTTTTTTGCCTCTCTGAAGCTGGAAGCAAGTCCACTTCCTTAGGCTTCTCATCTTCCAACTCACTAAATATGACCTCATGCACATCATTTACAGATTTTCCAGGGTCTTGTTTATGTGGCTCAAGTAAAAGAGCCTCTTCTGTTGGATCTCTTGGCTCTGGGGAAAAACTCAGCCAGGTGGGGATCACAATTGGGATTAATAAAAGAATGAATAAAATCACTGTGAAAATTATGATCACAGTGTGGCTCACATCAACTAGATCTTCAACGAGCATAACCCCCATCAGATAAGCAGCCAGAAGAAGGCACACAGCATATATTAATGAAAAACTTGACCCATCAGATAGGCGGACTTGCCTGTGACCTCCAACAGGCCTGACAATGAACATAAGTGCGATAATCACCATTGTTGGCCCTACTGCAACCATAAATATGAGTGAAGCATGATTGGGGGTATGCATTACCGCATATATCTGAGTCAGAATCGCACCCCCCAACCCAGCAAAGCCCTTCAGTATTCCCACCACAGGACCCCGGTTTTTGGGGAAGTTTTGCACACATGAGACTAGTGCTGCTGTATTAAAGTAGGTCTCACCATTTGTTCCAACAAATATAAGAATGCACATCTGCATATAATGATATTAAATGATAATTTGACTAAGGCAGCATTAAATATAAAATTAAAGTTTCTGCTAAGTTGTCTTGGATTATAAGAAAAAAACCTCCAAAACATAAAGAATTTAGGCAAGTATCATAACATTGAACCCAGAATCAGTGTGCTACTTGTGTTAAACAAGACTCATTTTGAAGATATGTTGGTGACATCAATCCAGCCAGAAGAAGAGGAACCAAACTGAAAATATTTTCTGGTGAATCACTGGATAAATATGTCATGAGAACAACTGCTCTAACACTTACACCACTCTTAATCAATTCAAATGGGATCAATATTCCAACACAAGTTAGGTTCATTCAAACAATTATTTGTAAGAATTTTATTTTCAAACTTCTAAGACAAGAAATCAAAGATAATCAGTTTCCATTAATTGAAAATACGATAAATAAATTCGAAATGCCATTCTCCCCCATTAAAAGAATTCCAAGAAGAATAGGGATATTGTGCCCTCAACACCCAGAACCCCCACTTGTACAAGAAAGATTCGTACAAACAGAAAGGCTGGTGCATTTCCATACACAAACACAGTGGGGGAACCATGGACTGATTGCGAGACATGAACTCATGACCTTAATGAAACATAATATGTTAGACAACCAATTACTCCAAAAGCTTGCACTTATGGCATAAACAAGAGCAAACTAACCACCAAATAAATAAAACGGAAGTAGAGAATATCGTCCAAAACCTCCCACAACCCAACTCTGGTATAATGTTAAAACCACTAACTCAAAACAAATTGACATGTTGAGAGGCACATCTGATTCATATACTAGTTTGGGAGACGTTATCAAAAGCTCTGATAGTAGATGATAACAACGATACCAACAGATATCATTATGGGTTGTCCAGTTGTTTCTTTAATTTGGCAAATTGGCTGCTAGGAGACAACCAGATATCCATATTGTTGCCCAAGTTAGGTGACAATCCCATGCTTTGAATAAATAGCAAAAAGACTTTGTAGTTTTGTCCAATTGCAACAGAAAAGAAGAGCCACGTTTACAAATAAGACGCAAAACAAATTAACTTCTTTACACCAGCTGTATTATCCAAAAGGAGCAAGTTCCACATTAGATTATCCCTCTGGGTGTCAAATTCAACGTAGAGCTGTATTGACTCATAACTCAGAGTCAGAACATACATGAGAAAGGATATTTGTTCCAAGAAAGATTCCACATAGATAACCAATTACACCAGACAATATTGAGCAATAATGAGCAATTGACCCAACAATTCACTTGATCCAGGAAACATCTTATGTGTGCGACACTGTCGAGGATCCATGGAATCATAGCCAGTATCAAGAAATGATAGAGGAAAACTAAGTCATACAATCTGTTCATCTGAATTCAAGCTGAATCACCTCAGAAATCCAAGAATATACATGGACAAATACATTTCCTAGACCAAAACTACTAGATGCTATTATTAATTTATTTTTGGTGTACAATCATAAATGCGTTCTAAAATTTTCCAGTTTCTTTTTTGGCCTACAAGACTTTTTAAGTATTAAAGACAAAATAATGCAATTCATGTTTGATGCATTACTTGAGGTTGAGGTGGCGAAGGAACTTCCCACAAACAAACTAACAACAAAGGAGAGGAAATGAAAGGTCTGAATAAATAAAATTGGAAAGTTAATTGAAAGATGGCTGATAAACAAATACCTTGTGGCAACCAATTGAAAATTTGAGAGCAAGATACATCCGGATATACAAGAATGCCAACTAGAATATATGAATAGTATGTGCATGTTTCAAACAGAGACAATTCCAGAAAGTAGGGAATAACAAAAAATTTCCTAAGAAGAATCAAAAAGAAAGAATAATTTCCCGATTGAATCTAACATGGAAATTTGGTTCAAATATTCACAAATCGGATTCTGCAGAATGTTTAAAAACGAACCAAATCACCTTATATATCTGTTATATTTTTCTAAAATAACAGAAACAAACAAGAAGACGCAAAGAAAAGCAAAAACCAGAGTAAATGAACACAATAAGATGATGAGAGAGACAAAGGCATTGGTACTCACAGCCCACAATGGCAAAGTTGGAGCTCGACCTGTAACGATGAGCCAAACCCAACCATACCCAACAAAGTTCTGCACAGCACCAACAAGAAGAGCACCCCATAAAGGCAAGACTTCACACAAACTACCAGCCAAGAATCCAACACTATCCCCAAGGTCCTTAGCCACACCCAACCTCGCAATCTGCTTCTGATTGTAGTTCAAAGAGCTCTTTATCACCGGCGATATACTCCCAAAAAGGTACCCAATCCCCGCACACGATTGTATCCACATTGCTGCCACAAACACCAGCCATCGGTTACTGAAAAGAAAACTAAGCCCCTCTCTCAAACGAACCATGTTGAGTCAATATGGAAGTCTTTGATTTTCTGTGTTTTTTGTTGGAATGGGGTTTGAAGATGTATGTATGACCCAAAATAATTTTTAGCAATTCAAAGATGCTATTGTCATTTTAGGGCACAGCAGAGCAAAGAAGTCGGAGAAATGATTCAGTTGATAATACCATTCATATATATATATATATATATATATATATATATATATATTGGTATATGATCAGTTTGTGGGGGAGAAACTAGTAAGACCCTGATGTTTGAGATAATTGGGAAAATGCCATTTCTGCTGGTGTGCAGTGCCAGTGTGCTACTGGTTGAGCATCATTGTCGCAGAGGCAGAGGACAAGAAGACACGTTGAGGTGATTCCGCATCTTACGTCCCAAATGTGGCTTTCGAAAGTGTAAGGACGTGTTTGACAAACGTTATATATCTGTCGTTTTAATCGTGGAAAAATTGATGTTTTGTGAGAGTTCCGTTAGCATCTCTCAGGACATGACTAAAGGGCACATCCAACCATTGTCGTTCAGACCATTGTCGTTAAAATGGGGTAAATAAAATGTAAAAAGAGAAACTCATGTAATTAAAGAAAAAAATATTAAACGTAACTGTTATACTAAATCAAAAGTAAGACGTGATATAATCATATATTAAATGAGTAATGCTATATAATTCAAATAAAATTTAAAAAATTATAACAAAAATACATATCATCCATTGAATGAGTGAGTCTCATCAATTTTTTTAGTAAGACTCACTCATTCACTACTCGTCTAAGAGATGATATGCATTTGACTTAGAGTTTTTAAATTTTATTTGAATTATGTAGCATTATTCTTAATAAACAAATTTGTAAGTAAACTCCACAAAAATTCATATTCACTCAATTATGTAATATATAATCATTTACATGATAAGAAGTGGGGGGTATCTTTTATCTATTTTGTCATTTGTTTAATTCGATAGTTATACCACATCAATATTGTTGACATAATGTAACCATTACACCTAATATTTACTCGTACTCAATGTCGTTTGCACATGACCTCATTATAATTTCAATTGTTGTACTGAACTCTAGTAATATTATATTTATCAAATTTCTTACAAAATTTTTTATCTCAAATAATATGATATAATCTCTATCATTAAATATTAATCGAACTTGTTTATTTAATCACATGTGAAAAAACAAACATTTTGGTCACGATGGCCTATTACAGAGTTGACTCATTTTCGACTCAAATAATTTGTCCTTGTCTTCATTATTACTATTAAAAAACAGGCCTCCCGTTACTCACGTGTGTCCCACGAGATCAGGTCCACAAGGTTGTCATGGGTTCCCCATTTAAATAGTTGCTTGTTGCTTTCCTCTTTTCCATTTGACAAGGACGGTGTCCTTTTCTTTTTTTTTTTTTTGCCCCCACTTTTCTATTTTGGCCAAACTGAGGAGATCGGAATAACCAACCTCACCATGAGCTACGGGAAGAGCCTCATTTGGTATTATCAGGCTAGTGGTTAGATTCCATTTGGTTTTTTTGTTAATTACAAAATAAAGAAAATAAAACCTACGTGTACATGCATTTTAGTTCTTTTGATAGCTTGATTATATTTTACTTTTGTATGAATTTTTTCTCTAAATTATCAAATGTAATTACACTGAAAAGATAGATAAAACATCATATTTAATAAAAAAAAAGAAAAAGCGAGAAATAGATGAATTAACTTTCATTTAAGCTCATCAAAATCAATTATTTTAAAATTAGAAGAAAAAATGGATAAAAAATTAATTATGTGTGTTGCACTATATTCTATTTACTTATGCATTTTTTAATATATACATATATCATATTTATCTATTAAATATTATGTATATATTAATATTATATATAGATATAACGATAAAATATGTATTTATATTTTTTTTATCTTTTTACTTTTTTATCCTACCAAACACAGAAAAATCATAATTTTTATCTCTCCTACCAAACACAAGAGCGAAAGAAAGATTCCTCTCTTGAAAAATAAAAAATATATCATTCTTATTTTTCATTCTTCAATTTTTTTATTCATCCAACCAAACATGCCGCAAGCGACCATTCATCCCCAGGCCACTTGCCATAATTGTCCATCTCTGACGCTGATGACCGATCCGTCTTGAGTTCTTATCCACACAATTGGGCATAAGATGTTTGATTTTCATAGGATGGTACTGTTGGAGAGACAATTGTCGTATGATTTTAGGTTTATGTTTGGTTTTTTATACATCAAACATGAGTTTCAGTTCAATTTCACAGGATGTCATGGCTATGACATTACGCTTTATGGCTTTGTCGATTGACCAAAAATATAAGCTTGATAATTCTAGGTTTTTCGGATGGCAAGTTATTCTCCAAATGGGCGGTGGATCTGATCAAAAAATGAATATATTCATGTATAATATAAATGAGTCTATAAGCTAATAATAAATTGTTGCTGTCAATGACACAAAAGGTTTTTGATGAATCTATGAGATTGACAATATCACCTTTGAACTTGAATGAGTAGTTCAATGGTGTGGCGTGGGACTTGCAATGAATCGTAAATTCAAACGTGTTTGATTTGATCAGTGGTGGTGTCCCTTAAATTTCATTGATACCTATGATTAAATGAATAATTGTAGGTATCCAACGTTTGTGATGCGTGAATGATTTTAATGCAATATTTTTTTTAGTGAAATTTCTCGTTAAAAAACATATATATTCTCGATCAAGACAAAAATAAGTTCAAAATTCAAGTTTTTGGCTTGATAAGAAATATGCCTTGTCTCTTGTATTAAAAAAAAAATCTCGAACTCTTGATTTTTGGTGAAATTCAGTACAGGTCACTTAAATTAACACTTGATGCTATATTTTTGATGCAGGTCAAAAATCATTAAAAAAGCTCAAAAGTTCATTGGAAAAAGTTTAGCTTTGTTACCATGCTTCTGATAACACATGATTGCGCTGCGCTGTTGGACCATTGCTGCACTATGATATGCTCCCATTTGTTTAAGATTCCTCATAATCCACTTTTGTATGAAAATCATGGGCCAACAGCTGTTTTCCAACTCTTCAGAACGCGGAATCGTCGGTGTGGACTTGCTACTTAAAAAATTTGTAGGAGTTTTAGATTGTACAAGTCGATATGTCCGAGTGGTTAAGGAGACAGACTTGAAATCTGTTGGGCTTCGCCCGCGCAGGTTCGAACCCTGCTGTCGACGGTTTATTCTTTTCTTCAAAATAGCCTTCAACCAGATTTTTTTGTACTTGCTTGACAAGTAAAAAGTTAGGTCGTATTGGCCTATAAACACGTGTGCCTACCTACCGTGCATGTTCAGTTCCACCTAGATAAATTGTTTTTGTAAACGTCTCGTATGCGTTTAAATGAGACTAAGTGCGAAATTTTAGTGCCGTCATAAGATAATAATTTTACTGTAATTTGACATCGTGATAACTTGCCCAATTTGAAGGCCTTGTTGTAAATGCCCTCACCATGGAATAAATATTCATGGTAACGGTTTCATAAGTGGAAAATGTGAATCTCAAATTTTTAGAGGCATTATAATCTTTAGAATGAATATTTTATTCTCTAGTTTCCATTGCGTAACCATAAGTGCACTTCGAATATTGTCCCTGCTTTCGGATGAACTGCCTATAAGCCCACAGTCCATGGTAGTGTCACGGGGTAACTTTTATTTTTTTTTGAGGCTATCTGTGAAGGCGTTGCTATTACAACCAGCCACACACAAACTCAAGAATAAGGGACAGAAACTCACACAGAAGGCACACACGAATTTACTGAAACAAAGCTCCCAAACCTTATATATTGAACTCAACAATTTACAAGAAACTCTCAAAGTTAGAACACTCTCTTCCTATCAGAATGTTCAAGCACCCCTATTTATACAGGAGTAAGGCAGATGATACCCTCATCTGCTAAGGGGTAGTTACACACGTTTTTGCTATTCCATAGCATACTTGGCTATCAGGCTTGGTCTCTGTGCGACACTTGGCAGACAGTTCTATCCCTTTCAGTAACTGATGTGGAACTGTCCTTCATCGACATGCATCTGGACTGAATTCAGACTAAGGACGCACAAAATTGCCTCAGCAACTGCCTTGACTATGTCTCAACATCTACAACTGCCCACATCCTCCTGGTCACATGTATTGAGCAACCATGTGTCAGTCATGTGCCCACATTCAACAGTCAGCCTTGCTTCATGAACCAATGTGCACGCTGGGTTCAACCCATGCCATGCAATCCGAAGCTATGCACCCACATTATTTCAAATGAGCCCACCACGTGCTGTCATGCTCAACCAGGTGGTCTCATGCTGCCTTGGTTCGCCCCAATCTGTCATACCACTTAGCCGCGTTATCTTGATTTCAACTTATGGCATGCCTTAGTGCAAGGTGCCACTAAGACCGACCATTTGCACCCAAATCAGTTAGGGTATGACAAGCCACCCCTACCTGAAGTATCCAGCGACCTCGTTGGAATGGAGGCATGGTATTGCTTGATGAGATCCTCGAACTGCCACAATGTCGTCTCTTTCTCTCAAGTGGCTTCCTCCGGTGTTTTCCTTTTCCACTTGACTAGGGAGTTCTTTTGTTTTTCTTACTCATTCCCTCTCTCTTATGGTCAAGGATAACTTCAGTTATTTTTGTGAATTGCTTCCTGATTGTTGGAGGAGCCCGACGCTGAACGTATCTGGTAGGGTCCTCTGGGTTCTCAATATAAGGCTTCAAGAAGGCAACATGAAAAACTGGATGAAGCTTGAGACGACTGGAAAGATCCAGCCTATAGGCCAACTTGTCAATCCTAATTATTATAAGGAAAGGGCCGTCATAGCGCTCGATTAGTCCCTTATGTGCAGACTTTCGAGAGATCTTGTTCCAGATTGGTGGGGTAAATTTCAGCATCACTTTGTCACCCACTTCGAACTCTACTGCCCTCATCTTCTCGTCTGTCTACTTTTTCATCCTCTTCACCGCCTTAATTAAACAGTTTTTTGCCTCGTCGGTCCGCTCCTGATTGGCCCGAGCAAAGCGGTATGCTGCAGGACATCTCCCTTGAGACTTCTGCTTGACAACATCATGTGGGGTAAGAG